GACCGGGAGTACGCGAGTACGCTGTTTTGCCCGTGGTGTGTGTGGTGTCTTGGATATGAGTCCGATATATCGTATTCGAGGCGCTTTCTTATTTGTTGCTGTTAGTTTTCTGTTTCGTTTGGTACTGCATTTTCAGGTGAATTCTACGGAAGTCACAACAAGTGTCTGTGCGTATTTTTGTTGCTGCTGTTGGAATTGAATGTGTGGCATGGCTTTGGCTTGAATTTTTTTCTTGACGTTTGTGCGGTTTGTTGCAGAAAACAGGGCAACCCTGCCTGCTGTTCGGTTCATTCTTCAGTGAGTGGACATTACTACATGGTATGCTAGCGGTGTTCCATGTTACAGCAATAGCCTAGTAGCCCGCACTGCTATGGCTGTTGATTGTTTTAANCAAGTGTCTGTGCGTATTTTTGTTGCTGCTGTTGGAATTGAATGTGTGGCATGGCTTTGGCTTGAATTTTTTTCTTGACGTTTGTGCGGTTTGTTGCAGAAAACAGGGCAACCCTGCCTGCTGTTCGGTTCATTCTTCAGTGAGTGGACATTACTACATGGTATGCTAGCGGTGTTCCATGTTACAGCAATAGCCTAGTAGCCCGCACTGCTATGGCTGTTGATTGTTTTAATTGAAATTAATTGCTATCTTTCGTTGCATCGACAATAATGGGGGGGGATCGAATGTGTCCATGATTCTAGAGGCACTGACAGCAATTGATTTGTTTGGTGTTCTGATGGGTTTGACACTGCTAGATAGAGCAGGGAGGGGCAGTTGGAGGCGCATTTATATTGCTTGAAGTATTTTACCGCGATTGATTCCAGAAGAAACAAATGTATACATACTCTGTCTGCCGAATGGCGATCACGGATGACCAAGGGTGAAGGGAATGCGGGAAAGTAGTCCCCTCTTCACCCTTATTAGAACGAACGAGTGCAGAGTAGTAGTAGTCGGATGCGTCGAAAACACATTTATTTCCTGAAAGACTAGAGTCCAAGATAATTTGCGCTGTGTGATACAGCAACACAATGATTCATACATTTCGACGGTGGGAGACGGCATAATAATAGACAAAGCGTGTCGACGAAGCCAACCGCGCGCGCATTTGTCGAGCATTCACGGCCACAACAAGCATTGCCCGAGCACGAGGGACGAAGAAAAGCGTGCAGAAGTACGAGCACACGCGAGGAAAATGAGCATTACCAGCGTGCATAACGCCATTTTGAGCATAACCAGCGTGCATAAGTCGCCTTTTGAGCTTACGCACGTGCCGAAAAACGTGCAATAAAATGTCAAGAAATAAGCATAATAACAGGTCAGGGCCTAGTATGGGCCTGTATGTGGATGCAACTAATCACAACAAGTTTTTTTCCTCGGCGCAAGCCCGCCGAGTTGCCGACACCCTATTCAACACACGTCTTGCGACAAGCTACCCCCAGTTCGGATTATCCTAACAGGTTAATATATTCAGCGTATAGTCTAGACTAGATGATGAGCGAGACGCGTTTGTTTTGGTATGAAGTAAATTCCCACCAGTGCGTGCGATTTGGGGTGTGGTTATGATGCTTCAAAGCTATCGTTATTTCGCCATATATATACAACCCTCTCTGCCCTGGTTACAAGAAGCAAAGCGGCGCGCCTCTCATTGATTGATTGAACTGCTCACAAATTCAAAAATTAAGGGAGGTGGGGCGGGTTCGTGCATACCCCCTCAATCGAACTCCTATGAGTGAAGCCGCTTAAAGTCGTTGGCATTGATTGCCGTGCGTGGGCTTCGGGAGGGCGGTCACGTACGCATCATTGTCCACACACCCCATGATCGCAATGCTGAGCGGATGAAGATTCATGATCAAGCGGAGCCCGAGCCCAGTTGCTTATCAGTTTGGGCCGGAGACATGGCGGAGGGGAAGGGCATGATCGATAATTCGGGTGGCTCAGTTGTGTGCGATGGGAGTGTAGAGCAGCTCGGCCATGACGGGCCGTAGGGGTAGGAAACGTCGTGCAGACGTGTGGAAAAACGTGTTGTATCCGTGTTGCCGTGTTGTATTAATCGGGGGCGTGCTCGTGCTCGTCAAACCATGACGGTATCGAGTCACGCCTTCATGCTTTCTCACACAACGAATCTCTCTGAATCCTCACCAAAAGCCTCTCACAACCAAGGAAAATATGTAGAAAGTTCCTGTTCCTCCGCATCTCATCACTGCAATATTCGTACGTACGTACATAACATCTCAACCATCATACTATGCTACGAGTATATCGAATAGCCCCCCTGCTCGTATGCATCGTCATGCTCCGGCAAAAATATCAAAGTCATCCTTTTCATACCAGTTCATCCCAAAACACAAATCAAAACCAATAAAAACAACATATTCGCCTGATTGAGAGCGAAGTATCTGATTGAGAGCGAGAGCCAAAAAAAAATGAAATTTCGGGTCCAGACGCCTCTTGCCATTTCTTGGCAAGTAGGGGACGGGCTATTCCAAGAAGCGGTGCAAATTGAAGGTCTCGTCAGCAGCTTCGCGAGCATATGCGTGTCATCGTCATCGGATGCTGCAGCGAGGAGCTAGACAAGTTGCTAGATTTGCCCAGATTGGCTATTTCTGCTCAAACTGTTTCAGGGCGGTATCGCGTCGGGCGGTGGGCTCTGCTGTAGCTTCTGCTCCCCGCTGTAGCTCCACAACGAGAGACTCCCACAGGATGACCAGGGTAGCGGCTTGA